TGGTATACACACCTACCTTGTCAGAACCAGTAGTCCTTATGGGGACCAAAGACCTGTCCTAATATGGTGGAACTCCATTTTCGGATTGGGGGGGTTGAGCTTAGGATCAAAGCCTGAATTGAGTTTAGGCCAGTTTTAGGGTTAGAWATGTACTGGAAGGATTAGGTTTAAGGCAAGGGTCAGGTTTAGGCTACACGAACAACTGGAAATGAATGTGAGTCAATGAACAGTTAGGGTCCTAATAAGGTCAGAAATACAAACCTGTGTGTGTGTGTGTGTGTGTGTGTGTGTGTGCGTGCGTGCGTGCGTGCGTGTGTGTGTGTGTGTGTGTGTAAGCGGTCATGTGTGGGGAAAAGGACTGGCGAAATCAGAAAGTCTTTTCATCCATTTTAGATGAGATGCAGATGACTCAATTATGCCTGGCCTGACATCAAGACCACTTGGCGGAGAAGCTGCTAACGCTGGAAAACGATCCATTTAATCCCACTGATATGAATGGCAGGGCAATAACAGGGAGTGCAACGCTAAAAGAGAGAGACAGGTCTGAGTGGGGATGCTTCTGTGCCACTGTGGAGAAACAGAGCTCCCGTGTATTGGAGAGGTGGGAAGGTGAGCAGAAGGACAAGGTGTTGACACTAAGAGAGGAGCGAGCACGCTGAGGACAGAAAACTATAACCAGCAAAATACAGAAAGTTTCAGATGATTCAGGGGAGTAAACTGAAGAAACAGGTCAACCGCTTTCAGACTGATGTCCTGCAGGACCGATAAATTTTGCGGCTACTGGCTACCAGAGCAGAGCCAACACGACAGCAAAGACCCACAAACGTGCTCTACATTTGATCAAACTGCTGTTTGATCTGAAAGGCCTTTCTCCCCTAAGACCCCTTCTGAACTCTGCAATAAGTACACACACTCATCATGCCATACCTTGTGTTCATCAGAGCTGCTCAGCTGCCAAAACCCTGACTGCATCAAGCCCTCGCCATCACGTCACCCTCAGCCTAATGCTAAATGAACAGGGGGTAAAAAGAACATGTCAGCGGTGATCAGTCGTCTGTCTGAGAGGACTTGGGGTTTGATGGAGAAAAAGCTTCAGATTTTAGCAGTGCTGCTTTGGTCAAAGTATAACGTGAGAGGAGAGGAAAACGTGGGCTAATGTAGGAGTAACAATAAAGGATTTTCTCTTTGCAGATGTATACCATCAGACAGCTCTGTCCACTAAACAATTTTGCAACCTAAAACCATTTCACAGAAAACCCAATTATTTAAGTATGTGAAGTTCTTGGTGATAAAAGTAGAGCTAGATATTTTCAATCAATGATGATCAGGTTTGGGTGTACAATTCTGTCAAATCCTTTTTGGTTGCGTGTTTTTAAAATACACTGAAATCAAGAAATATTAAGTTGTAAGTTTTTCCTTCAAACATCAGGCATAATTTTTGCTACTGATACACTATGTAAGGTTTTAGATGAACATAATATTACATGTAATTGTTTGGAGTCTCATTTCATTTACTGACAATAAAGAAAATCCTTTAGACCATGATATTTTATCACAGGTCAAGCCCTGCGCACATTCGACTTCCAAGCGGAGAGGGATGGTTTTAACTGGTACTTTTAGAAATTTTATTTTAGTATTTACATACAGTCAACCCCTTTGGACATTTGGCTGTAACTTGACCCTCAAAAATCCCTTATTTTCACAAAAAGAGGTTGAGAGCTTGTATATATTTACTTGTAGTGGCAAAGCAGGTTGTGAGATGACTATTCATCTCTTTATTTGTACTTTTTTACATCCTACAGGCTATGAGACATAATATAAAATTGAGGCTGAGTTTTGGAAAAAAGAATCTGTGAAATTATATGTCCATATAGATGCAAAGCGACCTCAAGAAACAATCAAAGTTGATCAGAACACAAAGTAACGTTGCACCTTTTGGTACTGACTTTTATTTATTTTTTGAGACACATTAGTATGTATTCAATCAGAAACCGGTATTTATTGGTACATTCACTGACTTGAGCTGCGATGTGTCCCAATGCTTTTAAAAACATAAATCCTCTCCAATGGGTTTTTATTATGTTCATCCGACAGAAACATACCATCAAAAAGATTTTAGTAATAAATTATAAATAAGCCATCTCTAGGGATTTTTTTTTACAACAAAATAAGACAATATAATATAGTAAGCGATCCATAATCTTGAGCTTTATTTACAGCACTGTGCTGCCTTGTATTTATGCTKATGTAAACAACTCCGGTCTGCCTTTTTTATGACCTTCAGTATAATTAACAGTTGAAAAACATTARGGCTCGTGTTGCTTCGCATGTAGTCAATCAAGTCAATGTTTTGTTGGTGCTGAGTGGTGTTTGTCTGTGCTGGTGACAAATGAGAGCAGCTCGTCCCACTGCTGACAGCCGCCCCAGAGCTGCGATACTATCTTCAGCTCTTCTCCCTGCTTCTACAATTACTACTGCCTCTCTGGCCCCAGGGCCTCTGACACCAGCACTTGGTCACCATGAACCTTGAAGACACACACACACACACACACATACATACAGACACAAGCAAATTAATTTATATAGACCCATACTCAAACATTGTGACTTATTTATGCATCCTTGTAATTCCAGAAACCTTTTCAGTCTTGTTCAGCAGTGAACTTTAAAACAAATCACACAAAAAGCAATACAGCTTGTAAACTTTCCCATATTGCACATATAATACATTAAAGTTTGGCCCTAAACTCAACATGTGGAACACTCTTATCCTTTGCTGATTTTTATTTACCAAAAAAACAAAAAACAAAAAATAAATCTTAATCTTCCTTGCCATTTACCTGTTTCTGGATTATATTTCAGTCAACCTCAGCCATATATCCACACAGTGAAACATTTGACTGGGATATGACCCTAAACCGATACCTTTCCCCACCACACACCTGGTTATTTTATCTCTTCCCTGCTCCTATTGTTGACCCTAATTGAGGATGACTTGGCTGGCTGGCTGGTGGATGACCCCGATCGAAACAATGCATACCTGTGGCTCTCACCAGCGCCATGTAATTGTCTCCTCAAGTGGGGTCCTTTTTTTTTTCAGTCAAGTCCCTGAAGGGGAGAACGTTCTACAATCATTCATCACTCAGTCACTCAGCCGCTACAGGAAGTAGTTAACACGAGCGACCTCTGGGATGGCAGCTGGCAACAAGAGTGGAGGTGAAGTTTTGAAAGAGACATTGAGAGTATTAACTATCACTTCTTAACAAGGAGCAACATCAATCGATCCATTCATTCATTCATTGGCTGATTGTAATGGCTGCAGCTGTCTTCTGAAGGTTTAGAGACAAGAAACAGCAAAACCTTTGTTAACCATAATAATAAAACAAATAATAGCCATTTTGGTCAACCTTAGAAAATATCATGCTTTCAGTATAACATCACACAGCCTGTTGGTGCTAACAATCTGTATTGAAATATTGAATAAATGGTAAAAGTCAACTAGCTGTGGACAGTAGTTCATAGGTTAGTCTGCTAAAAGACAAAGAGGGTTGACTCCAATGTTTTTTGCCAGTTTTAAACAAATATTTTGTGCAATGTTTGGTGCTCTGGGTATGTGTTAGGAATGACTCTCAGCTACTAGTGAACCACATTTTTACTCACTGTCTGTAAAATTGACTGAGTTAAAATAAAGTTTTGTTTTTTAATGTCACTCAGCTGTAAGGGTCATTTTATATCAATAGCCCCCGAGTTATAAGTCAAATTTGAGTCAAACTTATAACAAATCCATAACAAGTGGAAACTTTCAGAACAGCCTACTAAATGTCCCCAAGATTCTACCTTGGGGCTTTTGATAAAAGCAAAATGGCATTCAAGATGGCTGCCATTTTGTGATTTTCTCTTATTCCAGGCTTAAAACATAACAAAAATGCAAATTAGGAGTCTAAATATATGCTTTAATTGTGGCATGAATTTCAAATTCAGTAATATTTTAAAGATTTAATGAAATCCTTATGCAGTTAAACATAGGTATAAAACGGGTGGCCAATCTTGGTCCTCAAGTTTGACTAGAAAAGTTGACCAACTTTTGAGTAGCACCATATACCTGTGATCCTAATTAAAAAAGTTGTTCTATTTAGCTCAAGAATGCCATAAAATATACTTCTTTACATTTAGAAACACCAAAGGGTCACAATGCATTGGCTGGATAATTATCAGTCAGATCAGAGAAATTACAAACATATGAAAACAATAGTAATTGCTCATGATTATCTTGTGATGGAAAAAAAAAGGAGAAGGACACAGGTCGTTGGATAAAACACATTTTTTTTAATTTACTGCCATTCCTATTGCTTCAGACAGACAAGCTGAGGCGCAGGGAGCACAGAGTGATTCAAACAAGTCAACACTACTGCTGATCTACAAATAAATTTCTCCGACAATAACAAACAACAAAGGTGCAGAGAAAGAAGAAGAAGAACAGSATTTGGCAACCATTAACATTTTGGAGAAAAAAAATCTCAGAAGTAAAAAAAAAAAAATTAAATAAAAAAGTGCAGTCTGCATTTTTAATAGTAAACAGCATCTCTACATCATGAACTAGATAGAGAGAGAAATCAAACGAGTGGGGCTGCTACACTACTTTGACGTCGGCCCCCCTTTTTTTCCCACCCTTTTTAAGCTTTATAATATTTATTTATTATTTATTTATTTTAAAGTGGATTTTGTCAGAAGCTCCGGATCTTTCCCTCGCTCTCTCGGATGGCCTGCAGCATTACAGGGGAACGTGGTGCTCTACACGCTTTAAGAGTAATTAAAAGCGATTGAACAGCTGTAATTATGAGAAACGGCGGTTGTGTTCCGGGTCATTCTATCAGCGCTGCCTTTCATCAGAGTAGAGAGGCAGAGGAGGGGTGGGTGGGTTGGTG